CTGAGCATTCGACCGAAACGCCTCCCTAGACCTCTATCCGGTATCGTTATCTGTATCGTGTATCACCCACCTGGTCTGACAATATCGGAACACAGTGATCTTAATGAACATTTAATTAACACTATTGACCTACTTCGAAATAACCACCCTGATCTTGGTCTAGTAATTATGGGTGATTTTAATGATCTTGAAACTCGCAGTTTGACCACCAGTCAAAATCTTAAACAAGTTGTTGACCAACCCACTAGAGAATCAGCAATACTCGATCTTATTCTTACAAACCTGTATAATTTATATGACCGCCCTAATGTCCTTGCTCCATTAGGATCCAGTGACCATAATATTGTACACTGGCTACCTTCAGTAGATAGCATTCCCAGCCACAACATCCAAGCAAAACCTGTTAAATCCTTAGTACGGCGCTATCCCAGATCAGGAATAGATGCTTTCGGAAGATGGGTTACCGCACATAATTGATTTTGTGACCTTGAACCCAACCCTACTGTTGATAGCTTGGCAATCTCGTTTACAAACCAGTTAACAGAAAGTATTGACCGAATCTTCCCACAACAGACGTCAACACGTCATCACACCGATAAACCATGGATAACACCTGCAATAAAACAGCTTATCAAATATCGACAAAAGGCGTTTCATGGTCATAATACAATCTTGTGGAAATCGTTGAAATATAAGGTCCAACATGAAATCAATGCGAGGAAAATATCGTACTACAAAACAAAGGTACAACATGTAAAGAAGGATGACTGCCGTATGTGGTGGAAAATCGTAAATAAAATGGCAGGAAAATCTGGAAAGAACTCCTTCTCGCTTGAATATGATGGAAGAACTCTGGATCAATCAGAATTAGTTAGAGCTTTGAATATGTTCTATGCATCGGTGAATAGTGACATTCCACCACTTAATTTAGCGACACTCCCGGCATTTCTTCCGGCCAAAGAACCTGCTCCAACAGTTCAACCATATGAAGTATCTAAAAAGCTCTTAGAAATTAAACCTTTTAAAGCTCACGGCCCGGATAACGTCCCCTGTCGTATCCTGAAAGAGTTTGCCAATGAATTAGCCGAACCTGTTGCAACTATTTTCAACGAATCACTTTCATCTGGAATCGTGCCTGCAATATGGAAAGACTCAGACATCATACCAGTTCCAAAATCACAACCTCCTACCTGTGAAGGTGACACCAGACCCATCTCACTGACACCCTGCCTGGCTAAGGTTCTTGAAGATTTCGTGGTCGGGTGGATGATAACCGATATTAAAGACAAGATCGACCCCAAGCAGTTTGGATGCTTGAAAGGAACATCCACAACCTATTGTCTTTTATACATGATCCACACTTGGTTGTGCAACTTAGAGAGTCCTGAAAAACATCTTAGACTTTGTTTCCTTGACTTCGAAAAGGCGTTTGACCGTATAGGACATAATTTACTAATATTAAAGCTGTTGGACCTAGGTGTTAGATCGTCCCTGTTGCCTTGGATTATCAACTTCCTAACTAACCGCCGTCATCGGGTCAAACTTGGAGGAAAAACGTCAGACTGGTTGCCAATGAATGCGGGTGTCCCCCAGGGAACTAAACTCGGTCCAATTCTGTTTTTGGCGATGATAAATGATCTCGATGTGAAACCACACGCAACGGATATTTGGAAATTTGTGGATGACATATCAACATCTGAAAATATCACAAAGGGCAGCAATTCAAAGTTTCAGTTCTGTATTGATACTATAAATTCTTGGGCTTCGTGCAACCTTATGAAACTTAACCCCAAAAAGTGCAAAGAACTACGCGTTTGCTTTCTGCGGGAATCACCTGATCTATCACCATTGTTGATCGACGGTCATGCGCTTGAGTTGTGCGGTCTCATAAAGTCCTAGGTCTGGTTATCCAAAACGATCTTAAATGGAATGCACACATAGAATCAGTTGTATCCAAGGCTTCTAAACGTTTATATATCATCCGAATATTACGACGAGGTGATGTCCCTGCGGAAGACTTATTGAGTATATACTTTGCCTTAATACGATCGGTTCTGGAGTACTGTTGTGTGGTATGGCACCATGCCCTACCTTTGTACCTTGCCGATGATTTAGAGCGAGTGCAAAAACGAGCGCTGAGGATCATTTTACCGGGTTACTCTTATAGGGAAGCATTAGCACAACTTGGGTGTTCCAGATTGGATGAAAGGCGAGAACGACATTGCCTCAATACTATGAAACGCATAGAAATTGGAGGACCACTGTCAAAATATGTTCCATTGTCTAGGGCTAGTTCAAATGATTATGAACTTAGAAACTCTAACACATTAACAACAATAAAATGCCGAACAGAAAGATATCGCCGTAGCTTTCTTCCCAGTACAGTAGCTCTATATAATAGTTACAGTAAAGAAACTTAAGCGTGACACTTAATTACGATGATTTTAATGCAATTCAATAAGATTTTTAGACTTGATGCATGCAACTAAATTTTTTATATATGTAAATATATAGCGTACCAATTTTGTAAACGCACCATAATTCAATCTATTGCGAAGGTGTGTATCTTAAACCATTAATAATAATAAAAAAAAATAATTTGGTTTTGTTTCAGATACTATTACATGTTGCTTCATTTTACCATAAATTGCGTTAAAAAAAGTGATTGCTCATTTGGCTGATGTTACAGTTTTCTGATGTGTTTTGTTTGGATTATATTAGAACAATTTCAATATGAAAGTGCAGGTGTCTTTAGACATGAGCCATAATGTATATATCAAAATACTGATAAAATCCGTTTCCAACTTGATTGTATTTGCATTGTTGCAGAAAAAGTTGTGCAATGATGGGCATAAACGTCACATACTCGTATGCAATTTCATGTGCCTGCATGTACTTTGATGCCTCGAGGGATGCTTCGAATGTGTAATAAAGGGCTGTTCGCAGGAGTTGGGCTGTCCGGCCTTAATTTGCATTGTTTTTGATATTTTAAGATTGTATTCATATAGCTGGACCATCCTACCATTGCCACAATGTCTGATGTTCAAACAGGCTTTAAAATCAGGTTACAATGCATGCTTGAAAATATGCAACAATTTCACTGCTAATAATATTCCAGAAAATCCTGCCTCTTTGGCAGATCTGGACTGATTTGTCAGAGGGGGGTTGGAGGTTTTCTACTTGTGATCAGGCAAGCGGAGCTAGCCAAGAGTGCTGGGTCAAAGTCAAACTCATGTGAACAGCTTCTAAGTCCTAATTATATTGATAAATTATGTACACTTTGGGATGGTAATGCAATTTGTAAAATATTTCACATTTTATTTAATAAAATTTAAATATATACATTGTTTTTGTTGTTTATATTAACACCTTGGACATTGTATAGTTACACCTTTGGACCCTGTAAATAAACACCTTTGGAGGGTGTACCCATTCTAAGCCAAAGACGTTTAAGGACAATTATCAAGGTATTTGCATGATAAAATATATTTAAAACTGCTTTTCATATACATGTAATGCATGGTTCAATTCTTGGTTTTACCAAGTAAATCCAGGGATTTTCATTAATGTCCCCCTCCCGTAGAATTCACTTGAAGTGACTGGGGCAAGGTAGCTATAAGTATAAGTAGGTATATAAAAGTCAATTAATTAAAATTTACAAATAGCTTTTTGAATATAGACCATTGCAAATTTTTTAAAAATTTGTTTAACCCTTTATAGTGGCATTGTGCCCTACTTTAGTATATTACTCCGTCTGGTGCCAGAAAATTTTACTCAAGGGCAGAATGTAGACTTGCCACAAGTCGACCTCGAATGAAACGTCGGCTCACACTTGCTGCTTGCGTTTCGTTCGAGGTCGACTTGTTGCAAATCTAGGCAGAATGCTGCCACTCAATGAGTTAATATATTCTCAGAACAGTTACCATCAAATTAAATCTATTTTGCTGGCAAAATTGCCTTGGAGGGGGTCCTTGATTTGTCGAGGTTGGTTTTTTTGGGGGGGGGGGTTAGTGTTATAAAAAACACAATAGGAACTGGTTTCAGAATAGGGAGAATTGTTGTAACATAGGTAATATAATTCTAAGACAAATCATCCAAAGGAAGCAATAATTCTAGCTCTTATAGTGTATGTTGCAACAGGGGTGGATTTACTGCGGGGGGTGCACCCCCTAGCCCTGGCCAGGGGGGTGCTATTTTACATGATAAAGCAAAATATTATTACAGGCAAAATGAGATACAGTAATTTGAGTGATAACATGATGACAAGCGAGCTGTGAACAACAATTACAATTCAAATACAGTAGTAAAGCAACACTTTGCAGTAGTGAAGCAAATTGATGGGTGGGTGGCACACATGACTGACATAACTCGGTACCAGAGCTGGCAGAGCACCCCCCCCCCCCTTACCAGAACATGATGGATCCATCCCTGTGTTGCAAAATGTATTTTCTTCATAGTCAGGCATTCACATGAATGAAGATTAGAATTGCATCATGTTACTGTATATAGTCTTAAATATTTAGGAGGGGTCGCCATTATTAAATTAAGAGATTAAAAAGGGGTCCCATGACATTCTGGCATAAGAATCTCCCACTCCACCCCACCCTAGGGTATAATGAATGGTCACTTAAAGTACATGCCATCTTCTAACTGGTTGGGCACCTTGCCCCTTTTGTTATGGAAAATCTATTCCCTACCTTTATCCCCTGGGACAAAAAATTCAAATCAACTCTCCACCCTGATAATGTGCAGATGGTAACAGCAAGAATTAAAGCAAGCAAGCTTTACTAGAATACATACTATTATTCGGAAGCATCAATTTGCAGATGCTAATTTGCCAGTCATGATTTTAAAAGTAATATTTCTTATCTCGTATAGAATTCTTAAGGTCTTGTTTACATTTTACTGGAAGCAAACTAAGATGTATATCCAATATTTGGGTCATATCACTCATATGTCAGTTTTGCAGCTTGCCAGCTTCAACAACATTTGGCTGCATGGAAAACGTATACAAGGAAAGAGCATATAACACTTCATCTGTGCTTAAAATATCAATGAATAAATATTCCAACCATTGCCACTTTATAATATAAGTGACATTCAACAATAGATGAAATATAAACATATACAGTATATGCAAATTAAAACATTTCTTTGAATCACTGTATAAAATATTCCTCATAAACTCGCTCCAATCGTAGCAAAGCAGAGTCTTTAAAAGGGTAAAACCAAGTTTAACATCCCCAGTTCAAAACACTTTCCGTGTCCTCTTAGGCAAGCCTGTCCAGCTGGAGAACATCTGTCGTAATCATTTTGGCTCAATTGGCTGTTAATTTTGTTTAGCGAACGAACGATATTTACCAAACCCAGTTGGAAGAACAGCAACTACATCGTTCCCATGTAATAAAAGCTGGAGAATTTCATTTCGAGTACGTCGGTAGGAAAAAGAAGGAAACATTTCAAAGACTAAACGCATTTTTAAGCCGCTCTAAGCACTTAAATTTTGTGGACACTCTTATGTTGGCGGCCATCTTGGATTTTCTAATTCATTATTATTACTAGAAATACATGCATGCAATAACCCCTCGCCTGTTTTCAAAAGATGTATACTCAGTGCCGTTGCGAGCACTTCGTCTGAGGGTGTGTGTGAGGTTAGATAGAGGGGGGGGGGCTACCAAAATTTTTCCAGATGTACAAAAAAAATTCAGGACATATAATAATTTTTCCGAAAATACAGTTGTTTTCCAAATTCACTTTCTCATGTCCTGAGAATTACCTGAATTCCCCTGAAAATCTTCTGCAAATCTACTTAAATTTACCTAAAAGTGCACTGGAAATCTACCTGAAATTCCTCATGAGCAATTATCAGGGGTGTTGCCCCCCCCCCCCAGTGAGTTCCAAGCAAACACTCTCTGATTTATTGTTCGTGTATTTCACCTCCCAAAATATTGTGCATCATACTATAGAGCATTTTGCTGTTGTCATGCTCTAGCATGGTTCAAATTTATGAATTTTTATTATACAAAGTATAGTGTTTTACAGAGATTTCGAGCACTGATAAAAATGATAATCTCACATGTGAAATTATTCATGATAATCTCACATGTAAAAATTATCGCCTTTTCAATTATCGCTTTTCTGTAAAAATTATTGCATTTCATTTAAGACTGTCCTTTATATAATAAATTGAAAAATACATGGGTGGTTGCAAATACCAGATTTATTTTTCGTGTTGAACATGACGTCTCACTCGTTCGCTGCGCTCACTTGTTCGCTGCACACTCATGTTCAACACTCGAAATAAATCTGGTATTTCGTGCACCCATGCATTATTCTCTATTTAAACTACAACTTGACTGGTTTAAATTATTATCAAGTTATCAGTGATTGTAAAAGTTGCAGATAGAAGTGTTTTGTTTTATATTATTGTCAAGTTATCAGTGATCGCAAAACCTCCAAATCCTTAATTTCAAATGTTAGAATGTTAGGGTTTGTAATCCAAGTGAGAATATATACATTTTAATACCTAACCAGGAACGACTGCGAAAAATGCAGCACAAGGTCCTCTGGTAGGAATTGAACCTACGGCCCTGCGATTCCGGTGCAGCGCTCTAACCAACTGAGCTACAGAGGCAAGCTGTTGAGCTTTAACCGTAAGTTCATGTATATTTAGGTAATTGGGTGTGCGGGTTGTGACAAGGTGGACTTCAATAATTTGGATTCTTGCACTTCACTTGGTGGAATTAAAATTAGAATGTTAGGGTTTGTAATCCAAGTGAGAATATATACATTTGTATATTCTCACTTGGATTACAAACTATTCTCATTTGGATTACAAAATATATACACAAAATATATACATGTACTATATTATACATTTGTATATTCTCACTTGGATT